TGGACAATATCATTCTAGGAAAAGAGGACAAAATGTTATCAAGGATATATAAACTTTTAATAGACTATTGGATAGGGGATGAAATAGTTAAAGACTCTATGATTGCCTGGGGGAGAAATATTGGCTATCCAATTGATATGACAAAATGGGAAGAAATCTGGCTTAAACATATGAAATTCCTGTGGGCAACATCATACAAAGAAAATGTGTACAAGATGCTGTATAGATGGCACCTTCCACCTGCTCATCTTTCTAAAATGTATTCAAATCTCTCACCAAATTGTTGGAAGTGTGGGGAGATTGGCACCTATTTCCACATGTGGTGGACCTGTTCCAGGACGACTGAATTCTGGAAAATTATACAGGCATGGATCATGGAAATCACAGGTTATAACCTAATTCTGAAACCAGAGTACTATCTACTGAACATTAGGCAAGACAACATAGGCACAAATATATGGTGTCTGTGTGTATTTATCACCACATCAGCAGGAATATGTTTCGCCCAACATTGGAAGGGGAAAGACCTGCCGGCTGAAGATTTGATTTTGGAGAAAATTTTGGATTATGCGGAAGCCGACAGACTGACTAAAGCATTGAGAGATCAAAAGGACTCCGTATATTTCCAATGTTGGGACAAATGGTACGTTTGGTTGAACAATAGACGCCCAAAAAGTCAAGTATAACCAGGATTATGTTTAATATATGTTAAATCTGACTGAAGCCTACATACCGTAGAAAGTGTAAATATCATGTAAAGTTCCTGTCGCGATCATTTGTTTGACTATTTCTTTTTTTTTTTTGATGTATTGTTTTAAATAAATAAAAAAATGTTTAAAAAAAAGTTATTGCCCACAATAGGACTAAAAGAGGACGTTTACTAAAAGAAGCCTGGTTCTCCAATAACAATTCCATCAATAGGCATATCGAACTGCCACCAGCCTAATATCAGGCGTTGAGACACCAGGAAAGACCCTGCAGGGTGAGCAGAGACTGCTTCCCATTGGGTAGCAGAGACTGATGGCACCCTCCCCCACCCCTGAGCATGCAGACTCAGCCTGTGAAGGCATAATCAGTCTTGACCAAATACAGAGCAACCCAGCAGAGCTGTCTCAAGCTATAACAAACTGGGCTGACCACAAGGTCACGGACAAGACCTTGCAAATTGCACTGGTTGACAGGCTAACATCATCCCCCACAGACAAGCAAGCTAGGAGGGAGGAAACAGTAGGAATTAAGCCTCCATCAACCAGCATGACAACAGCAAAAACAACACAGCTAATTACAAGTGGGAGACTATTACACACGTAATGGCCAAATTGATTAATGACATATAAAGGCAGAGATCTCTGTATTGGTAGTTTAATACTCTGATGACGTCAGCAGATAGCTGACGAAAGCTTAGTAGAATAAAATCTTAATTATTTTAGTTCCGGTAGACAATTTTTATGTAGGCTATCTCCTCTGGACTCAAACCTGGCTACCACGTGTTCAGTGGCAAAATTCTGTGCTGCTGCAATGACTACAGGGAAACATTCGGTTAAAGAACTATAGATGTCAACTTGCGCCAATTTTTTTGTAGACATCTCTTACCATTTTTAGAGAAATTATATTTACACACATACTTATCTGCTCTCCCATCATGTAAACATGATCCAAACTGTTTGAGACCATATGTATTTTATTACCATGGATGTTGTTAACCACTATTATTATCAGTACTATCTTTTAACACTATTGTAAACAGTGATGATTCTTGTCTATTGCTGGTCTATGACTGTAGTAAAGTCCTAAACTTCTTATAATCATAATGTGGCTACCATTAGTCATATTTACTGAGTATGGTGGGACATCCCAGGTATCTGGAGGGCATCTAGATCATTTATCCTTTCTTAATTGTTTCCACTGTAATGATTTATAATATTATTCAGCCATTGCTTATGTATAAAGGCTATGTTGACTACTGATATATGGTATACTTTGGCAAAGCAGGGCTAGAAATCAGCAAAAATCATTAGTAAGGAAACAGTCCTCTTGTTTGAATTCACTCCCATTGTTCCTGAAAACTATTCTTGTTGGCTGAGACTGATGGGAATTGGAATCCAAAACTTTCTGAAAGCTTATAAGAGGGCCAGTTTTTTGCATAAATTCACACTTAGTAGAAGAGAGAAAAAATGGAGGTGCAGGTTACGTATGCCCTTCTGGAGATCTATGAAGATCTGGCTCCTCCTCCAAGCATTGGGCTTAGATGGGGGTTAAGCTGTCAGGATGTTTGGTCTGGTGCCTGGAGAAAGGATACATTTGTTTTTCAACTATGTTTTATGGATTATAGTGAGCCACCTAGAATCATTCTATGATATAGGCAGCCATATAACTCCTGTAAATCAATAAATACTTGAGGTTTCATACTCTGGTTATGTGCAGAAGGTTGCAACCCAACATTCCTAAATCAGCATTAGAAATTGGATCCTTAAGTCAAAGCTGTATAAAACAGTAGACCCTATTGCTTGAACTCCATTCCCATCATGCAGGAGAGGCAAAGTCGCTGGGTGAGAAGGACAGCTATAGAAATCAAATAAATAAATAAAGTCCTGTTTGAACAAAATTCCATGACCCCATGATCCCACTTCACCCAATAGTTATTTAGTAAATGATCAAATATATAATAGCAAGAGCAATAACATTTAGACGTATATTCCACTTCATAGTGCTTTATAGCACTCTGAGAGGTTTACAGAGTCAGCCTATTGCCCTCCCCCCCCCAACAATCTGGATCCTCATTTTACCGACCTCTGAAGGGTGGAAGGCTGAGTCAACCTTGAGCTGGTCAGAATCAAACTGTACAGTGAGCAGAGTCAGCCTACAATGCTGCATTCTAACTGCTGTCCCCGTGACTCAAAATATTAAGAGAAACAAACTGCTTGCCTTCGCAGATGATGTAATTTTTATTCTGGAAAACCCAAGACTATCCGGACCCAGGCTGATGGCAATGATAGAAGAATACGGAGACGTTGCGGGCCTCAAAATAAACAAACAAAAAACGAAAGTACTGACGAAAAATATGACTCAGACACAGAGGTTGAAATTAGAAGAAGAATTAGGAATCCAAATAGTAAAGAAGATAAAATACTTAGGTATCTGGTTGACGGCAAAGGCTATTACGATCAAAGAAGACAATTATACTAAATCTTTAAAAGAAATTAAAAAAGATTTGGAAATTTGGAATAGACTACAACTGTCACTGATGGGTAGAATCGCCTCTGTAAAAATGAACATACTGCCAAGAGTATTATACCTATACCAGGTAATACCAATACAGCCGGGAAGAGACTTTTTTAAGAACCTCAACAAGTTAATAATGACGTACTTATGGCAGGGAAAGAAGGCAAGAATTAAGATCAAAGCATTACAAGACTCATGAGATAAAGGAGGCCTGGCAGTACCAGATTGGGAACTCTATTACAAGGCTGCAGCGCTGACCTGGATCAAAGAATGGATGTATTTGGACGATAAAAGAATTCTATATTTAGAAGGTTTCGATTTAATGCGAGGATGGCATGCTTTCCTATGGGACGGACCGGACAAACGACAAATGTATTTCCAATGACATATAATTAGGGTTTCACTATTTAAGATTTGGCAGGAAATCAAGAAAAATCATTATACCAGAATTCCAAAATGGTGGTCCCCGATGGAGGCATTGATACACCCAAATACCCTCGAGATAGGAAAGATGATGCGGAATCAAGATCTATTAAACCAGGAAGGCGAATTTATCCCAAGACACCAACTCCAAAACGGTGGCATAAACCCTATACCCAAATGCACTCAAGATATACAGCAGACAAAAAACAATTTGGAATCTCGAACAACTTAAACGAACTGGACAAGATCTTACAAGGTGCGGAACAAAAGATGATAACCAAAACATACAATTACCTTCTTAGATACAAACTATTAGAAGAAATAGTTAAAGAAAACATGATAACATGGGCCAGGGATATAGGCCACAACATTCAATTGGCAAATTGGGAGAAATTATGGAAACAAAATATTAAAATGACAAGGGCCACATCCTATAAAGAGAATCTCATCAAAATGTTTTATAGATGGCACCTACCACCGGCTCGATTAGCTAAAATTTACCCAAACGCCCCCTCATCTTGTTGGAAGTGTAAAACCAAAAAAGGAACGTATTTTCATGCTTGGTGGAAATGTAAAAAGGCCCAACAATATTGGCAAGACATTAAAAAAATTATTGAGGAAATAACGAATCTACAAGTAGAAGATAGTCCAGAGTTTTTTTTATTTGGCATGACAACAGCACAATACACCAAACAGACGAAATACCTTATTATACATATCCTGACAGCAGCATGATTACTATTCGCTCAAAATTGGCAATTAGACCAATTCCCAACCAAAGATAAAATTATCTCAAAGATAACAGAATGTGCTGAGATGGACAGATTGACGCTGGAACTCCAGGACAAGGAAGAAAGTGACTGTTACCGTGTGTGGCACCAATAGTACCAATGGCTGGAAAGGAAAATAAACATAACTGTAGACGATCATAACTAGGGTGAAAGATTACAAGGAATAAGGAGAGGATGTAAATATATACTAAGTTTTAAGTAGTTGGATTAAGAATCTAATATTATTTTCTCATTAATATGTAAAGAAAAATATTATATATAATGTTGATGACAAAAAGTATATATGTAGAATGTTGTATGGGTGATGTGGGTGGTGGGAGTTTTGTTTGTTTTGTATTGTCTTTGTATCTTTGTTTATATTTTAATAATAAAAAATATTTTTAAAAATATTAAGAGAAACAGCTCAATTTAGCAAAAGTTTAGTAATAATAGATGTAACATTTCACAAAATAAGATATCTAGCTCTAGAAGCACAAAGCATATGACTCCAAGGATTGGCAATCTCTGAAAAAATTGGGGACAGGGTGAATGCATTAACTTTTAACAACCTTTTTTTTCCCCCAGAGGGAACCTCTGAATCCTCAGCACTCAAGAAAATGTCAAAGGATCACAAATGGTAAAGCTCTGAGTTATTTAAATGTTTTTGATTTCTTTGTATTACAGTTCAATATTATAAATTGAATTATGATTGATTGTAATTGATGTTGTAAGAAATCATTTTGAAAGTGTAAATCTTTTTCTCCACAATCACATCTTTATGTGAATACATATTTAATGTAATTGACCACCTCTCATCCAAATCTATCTATCCATCTACCTACCTATCTTTTTTAAAAAAAAGATGGTGTCAGCGGCTGCATGTGTTTGCAGATGGTGTTCCGAAGTGTAGTGCAGAGAAGGTTTTGGAATGTAGAGATTGTTATGTGGAAGTGGAGGATTGTGTGGAGAGAAAGGCAAGAGGGAGACAAGCTTGATAAGCTAACTGAGAGGCTGGAATTTGTTGAAGAAATGGAGAGGTGAAGAAACAGAAAGACCGAGAGTTTGAAGAGTGGAGAGGTTGGAAAGGGGCAGTTGGAAGGTTAGACAGCGAGACGGAGCAGAGGAGGTGGATGATTTATGATTTTGTGGCTTCCTTGGTCTCTCCCTGGTCTCCCCCTGTACTCCCCCTGGATTCCCCTGGCTGAAGCTAATCCCTGGTCTGAGAGCCCAAGACTCAGCAGCTGCAGCTCTGAATGATGGCGTGGGTTATCGGATGGAGGCAGAGCTGACAGTAGAGACAAGCTTCACTGGCCTTTGTCGGCAGCTGGGCCTACCCTTGTCGTTAATAACACTGTGGAGAGTGGCAGGCTGCCATTGGGATTTTCTGGACCTTGCTGGGGGGCTGGTGGTGGAATTCCCTAGGCTTATAGTTCTGGGGGATTTCAACTTGCCATCCTTGGGGGCAGGGGTAGAGGTAGCTCAAAATTTCATGGAAACCATGACTTCTATGGGCCTGTCCCAGGTCATCCAGTGCCTGACTAGGAATAGTGGTCACACACACTCACAAGTATTCTTGTCGGAGCAGTGCCTATGTGAAATTGGTGGACCTTGTCCTTGGTCCCCTTGTCATGGTCAGCTCACAATCTGGTGGCAATGAGTTTCTCAAGAGTTGTACCCCCCGCGGGGAGGCAGGACCTATTATATTGGTCTGCTCCCATTGACTAATGGACCCGGATTGTCCAGGAGGAGCTAGGAATTATAACTGCAGATCTACTGCACAGTCCAGCTGAGTTCTTAGTGACTAGGCTAAGGGAATAGGAAGGTGATTGAAGCTCTGGATAGGATTGCACACATTGACCTCTCCTCACCTGTAGATCTCTCTGTGCCCATGGTATACAGAGGACATGAGAGGGATGAAATGCATGAGGAGATGTCTAGAGCACCACTGGTGGAAGACAAGGAATGAACTTGAGCTGCTATTAAGACCTACCTCGTGGCGATTTGTGTGGTGAAATGTAAATACTTCTCCACACTAATTGTGTCTGCAGATAATTGCCCAGCAACCCTCTTTAAGATGAGTCACCTCCTCCTGGGGAAGGAGGAGATTGAGGTCCAACTGAAGGGGCGAGCTGAGGAATTTGCAGATTTTCTAGAAGACAAAATCACTCAACTTCATTCCCAGTTAGATACCAATATGGTTGCTGGTCTGGTGGAAGCCCCTGAGGCAGGTTCTTGCCCTGTTATCTGGGAACAGTTTGACCCTGTTGCTCCTGAGGAAGTGGACAGGATCCTAGGGAGTATGCACGGAAGCACCTGTGTTTTAGACCCATGTCCCTCCTGGCTTGTGAAAGCTTCCCAGGAGATGACAGAAGGGTGGACTCTGGCAGTGATTAACATTTCCCTACAGGATGGGCTAGTGCCCCAGCACTTTATGGAAGCTGTGGTCTGCCTTAAGAAGCCATTTCTGGATTCCATCCTGTTGAATAATTTCCAACCTGTCTCCAATCTCCCCTTTTAGGGGAAGATTGTTGAGAAGGTGGCGCAGCAGCTAAAGAGGTTTCTGGATGAAATGGATTATCTCGACCCCTACCAATCAGGATTTAGGCCTGGATTTGGGACAGAAATGGCATTTGGTCGCACTTTTAGATGATCTCTGGCAGGAGTGGGATTAGTGCACCCATCCTTGCTCTACTTGACCTCTCGGAGGCTTTCAATACCATCAACCATGGTATTCTCAATTTATAGTTCCTTCCCCATAACTGTTGCCATCTATCTAGATCAATTGAGTATCCAAAACAATGTTAATAGGAGGGGAGAGATCCAGCCCTTGCCCACTCCTTTGTGGGGTTCCGTAGGACTTGGTACTCTCTCTGCTCCTGTTCAACATTTATATGAAACATTTATTTTAAATAAATAAAAATATCTATCTATCTATCATCTCGCTTGAATCAGCAGAGCAGTTGAAAATGCAGTTTCAGCTTGAATGCTGGTTTCAATCTGATTTATATTATCCTTTCTGGAAAGAGGAACAGATTGTTTTATCTTCTCCAAAATATTCTAGAAGTAAATGTTTTTTCATCTTTCTTGAACAGAATTGTTTTCCCCTCAAAAATGAGATTTTTAAAACATTTTAAAAATTAATTCATCTTTAGAGATGTACAATATAGGGAAACTGGAGTTTGCACGTAAAAAGCTAAATTTCCCCTTCTTTCCTTCTGGCATGTGCTGAAAATACTTCCAGAAAATGGATGAAGTATTCCATTGTTTGGAAAAATTGCAATTCTGCAAGTTTGAAAAATAAACTGTAATCTAAACTGTGTTGTCATAGAATCACTGGTCTGATTTTAATTGGATAATTCAAGGTTTAATTATGGCTCCATTTCTTATTCTGATAAAGTTACCTTGTGAATATGACGGCTGTGATTTTTCAAAACTGAGTTGAGGGATTTGGAATGCCAGTTTTCCAATTAAAATTAATGACATCTGGCTACTGACAGTATTTGGCACATATTTTAAAATATGAACCAGTCATTGTTATAAAGATAAATCTTTGTAAAGTTATAAAGAGTGCTGAAAAGGGAGTGTGCATGCTCGTCTGGGCTGCAACCCGGAAGAGGAGCTGCCAATGGTGCATGTGCGCTCCCGAAAATGAATTTCCGGTTTCCGGCTGAAAGTTCTGGTGCATGCGCCTCAGCCAGCTAGCCTTTTGGGTTTTTGATGCGCATGCGCTCGCAACAATCAGCTGGTCAGCGTGCATGCTCATGCAGGAAAATGGAAGAGCAGCTCTTCCAGTTTCTGGCGCTGCCTCATGCAAAAAGACCAGCTGATCATTGTGCGTGCATACATGCCAGAAACCCAAAAGAGGAACAGGCGATGCTGTGCTTGCTAGGCAACATGGCTCCGCGTGCCACTTTGGGCACACATGCCATAGGTTCACTGTCACGGTTCTAGACCAACGTTCCCACAGTGAGCTGTGGCCCAGAGGTTGGGGACCTCTGATCTAGACTAGACATTCCCTGAATTAAATTGCCCTGATAAAATGCTTTCTTTTCCAATGGCCACAATTGGACATATTTTACATCACAAGTGTGACCAATGCATCAATGCCAAGCCCCACAAATTTCATTGGCAATAGGGCCAATATCTTCCTGTAACAGCTAGGTAAGTGCACACAGAAAAAAAAAATGTAGGTAGGATTTTCTATCCTAAATAGAAATGTTCTTGGCAGAGAAATGACTGAAGATTCTATCTCACAACAGAGAACCAAGGAAATGATATGTTCCTATTAATGACTTAGGGACTCTTATTTATTTGTGATATTGTATTAAAAATAGCACTGTGGCTTCTATTTTTTTAGTTAATTTCACCAAGGGGACACCCCTTATCATGAAACGAGTCAATGTGCCTGAACTTGATGCACTGTTCAATAGCATTGCCGAGACCTTCAATAAGCAACAAGATCATTGCTTGTCTCTCCGAGAAGCTATACAGATCTTAAGGAACTCCTATGACTGTTCACCCATAAGCAGCCTTTCTGTTTGCATGGAGAAGATCTCGCAGGAACATAGTAAGTTGGTGGGCAATTAATGCTGGAGAACAATTTTAATCGAAGGAGAAAATGTTGGTGTACAATATTGAAAGAAATATCCTGCTGTGTATAGTTCCAAGTGGGGAAAAAGACACTGGATTCATGAAAGTTGCTTGGAAAGAAGGTTTATTGATGAACAGGATTACATGCCTTGGAGATCTTGGGCGAAAAAAGGGAAGAGATGCTGAGAGTCCCTGGGTTTTATATCCTCTGTTGGGCTTTGAATTTGAGCTTGTGTTCTGATTGGTTGTCAGACTTCAATGGGGCCATGCAGGAGTAAACTTTGTAGGTTGTCTTTTTTTTTTAAATTGATTTGTAGGTTGTCTTTTGAGTCCCAGGCTTGGTTGACTTTTGCTGGGTGATGATGTCATGAAAGGGCTTTGGGCAATTCCTACTATGGCTCTGCCTGAAGGAGGTAGATCTTTGTTATTAGAATAGACTGGCCCAGGCCTTAATGGCCCATTAACAAAGATTGGGGGGGGCGGCGGCGGCTGAGTTTCTGCCTCCCTTTTAGGGGAAATATTCTGCCCTTTTAATATTTCCTAAAATATTTAATTTTCTAGAAGAGGGGTGGGTGCTAACTTCCTACAACAGGATGGCCAGCAAGAATATACTTTCACCTCTTGTTCTTGTGTTGCTTAGCTACACTAATTATAATTCATAGGATTAGAATAGGGGCTGACCCAATCTAGGTTCACATTATTTCATAATACTCCTTCATATTCTCTATATTCAAAACAGAATCAGGCCATACAAACAGAAGACCAAAACTAGAGAGAAAAATCTTTGTCCTCTATGACTGGAGTGAATCCACAGCCTACTAGTATTTGTACTGCTTCCTGTATAAATGAATGCTTCATATTTACGGTGCAGAAAACAGTTGCATTATCTTGGATATTGCTCCTGTGAGAACAAAGCAAATCAAATATATTTATTACACTATTTAAGAATAAAGCATTTCTGATAATACATGATCTGACATACCCCTGGGCACTGTGATAGTGGTGATAGTTGATAAGAATATGTAGATTTGGAAAAATCTATTTCATTCTTATATTGCCCGCTTAAATAGAGCAGTGTTCTGCACCGTGGAATAGTTTTTAGCTTTTTAAAAGAAATCATTTCTTTTTAAAGAAACATCCACCACACAAATGTAAGGGATTGCACTTGTGTGGTGATACTTATGAGGTGGCCAAAAATCTTCCTCCTCGTTCATGTGTTAATGATATGGTCCTCCTTTCCAAGACATTCTCCCTTCACCAAGGCTTACTGGAATGCTCAGATTGCAAGTCAATGACTCAACTGTTACCATCAGACGTATTCAGAATGCAGCACAAAAATAGCAGTGAAAATGATAATCTAATGGATAGCCATGATTTCCTACAGAATTGCACAACTAAAATCTCGTGTTGTGCATGAGGCAGCCACAGAAATTCCAATTGTGGTTACCAAGCTGTAATATTTGAAAGTCATAGCAGAAAAATTATAAAATACCTGATTGGGAAAAAAATCCTATTGATTTACGCACTGTCCAGAATTAGTTTAATTGTAGTGGTATAAAAATATTGTAAGCTAAGTAGATAAATAAATAACTGTAATTAGTTTGAATTAAATTTAAATGACTTGGCCCTTGTCAGTATTTTTGAGAGCATGCCCCTTTTATTCATCTTGACCCTCAGGTAAGAAAACAATGCTTTATGTTATTGGCAGCTCAATCCTAAAACTTTCATCCGCCCAATGAGGTTTTGGGAAAGAAAAATAGCAAAATATCATGCTCTTGTTATTGCTCCTAGACAGATTGTTCAGCGCTATTATTCTAGACTGATTAATTACATGGTTCAAAATCCAAGATTCAGATTCGTTTTGCAGGAGAAAATTGTTTACATTGATCAATTCAGCTTGATTTTCTGCCTCAATAAATTACCAAGATGCTAAGGATTTTAGATTTCCGTTTCCTGGATGAATATTCTACTGCTTGGATTGCATGTCACAGTGAAATTATTCTTTAGATTTACCTTCCTGTATATTATCCCTTCATGTGCCTTTAAAGCTAATCTTTCCTTTGTAACGCCTGCCTTCCGAAAAGAATGCCAAGAAGAATTGCTTAGTGTTTGTGAAATCTACAATAAGAAAGACAAGAAATGAATTCAGAATTTACTCATAGGAAGACTTATCAAATATTTTATGTTGGATGAGTAGCAAGGGGAAAAAAACCCAAGGGATTACCTTTAAAATCCATAAGAAAGGTTTCACAGAAGAGCACAATCTCTAGTTCTATGCCAAGGATTACAAGCAAATGGCCTGGCTAATCTTGGTTTAATATTACCAAATTATTATTACATTTCTCTCACACACACCTATAAATTTATGTATTCACCTATGTCCCTGACAAATAAAGTAGAAATAATTAGATTTCATGGCATTGTAATATCTTTGACAGTTGGCCGCTATTTGAAGCTTTCTTGAGACTCAAACAATGGATCTTAATCACTAATTTGAGATTAACATATCTTTGTTTTTCAGGTGCTTACAATGTCCAGGTGTGTATGGAAGGATACAGGTTTTGGCTAGATGTGGGAGTGGAGGAAGTCCCTCAGAAACTGAAGCAGACTCAGCAGCAGGTGGAGAAATTGAATTCTGCTACCAAAGGAATAGTTAGTACAACAATAGAGGAGATGATTTACTCAGTTCACCAGTGCCAGGACAGTTTGATGGAGAAAGTGAAAGACTCATCACCTGAGTACCTAGACTGGATACGTTTAGAAAGCAACCTGAAAGAAAACATTGAAAAGGTAAATCAAGCACAGGAGTATTCAGAGGAGTATAGAGAAGAAGCCAATTATGTGCTGTTGAATATGGCAAAATCAGCAGATGTGACATTGTAAAGCAGTGGTTCCCAACCTTTTTTTTGGCCATGCCCCACCTAAGCATTTCTAAAATCCTGATGCCCCACCCCCCGACATATAATTCTTACTATTCAAAAAGTGAACTCCTACTCATGCAGAGGAATCCTAAAAGGCCATTAACTTGGTTTAAACAAGGTTCCAAAGAACATGGCATCCATGAAAGAGAAAAATAAAAGAACGAAAGACAGTAGAAGTACTGAGGAACTTAATAAATAATAGTATGAAGGGATATGAAAAAACAGCAAGTAAAGTTTCAAAACATAATAGAGAACTGAAATGCATAAATATAATATTAATGAAAGCTTTTTCTGTAATACTTTGATCATATTAATTACTATACATATACATATTAAAATAAAGGTACCTAACAAATTCAAAATACAATTTGAGCTCACCTCAAGATCATATTTACAATGCAATCCTATGCATGTCTACTCAGAAGTAAGTACCATTGTCTTCAATGGAGCTTACTCCCAGGAAAATGTTGTAGGATTGCAGCTTTAGTCTACTTAAGTTAGTGAGATCCTTGTGCTTGATGGCTGCTGCAGAGAGATTTTATATTGGTTCTGGGAGGGGGGAGAAATTGTCCCCCTCAGAACAGGTTCACAATTTGGGTGTCCTCCTAGACTCACAGCTAAGATTAGAGCAACATCTGACAGCTGTGGCTAGGGGGACCTTTGCACAGGTTCGCCTGGTGCACCAATTGCGACCCTACTTGGATCGGGAGGCTCTCCTCACAGTCACTCATGCCCTTGTCACCTCACGGTTGGATTATTGCAACACGCTCTACATGGGGCTACCCTTGAAAAGTGTTCGGAGACTACAGTTGGTCCAGAACGCAGCCGTGCGAGCTGTCGTGGGTGCACCTAGGTACACCCACATTACACCAATTCACCGCGAGCTGCACTGGCTCCCTATTGGTCTCCAGTCACAATTCAAGGTGTTGGTTATTACCTTTAAAGCCCTACATGGCTCAGGGCCAGGGTATCTTCGAGACTGCCTTCTACCACATAACTCCCAACGACTGGTAAGATCCCACAGAGTTGGTCTCCTCCGGGTCCTGTCAGCTAAACAATGCCGACTGGCGGGCCCGCGGGGGAGGGCCTTCTCTGTGGCTGCCCCAGCTCTCTGGAACAAGTTACCTCCTGAGGTCCGGACCATCCCCACCCTATTGGCCTTCTGAAAAGCGGTGAAGACCTGGCTTTTCCGGCAGGCCTGGGGCCGTTGATCTCACTCTTGCGATCCGGCGAGATCCGTCCATGAATGGTGTGAATGAGTTTTAATGTTTTTAATGTTTTTAATTTTAAAATGTTTTTTATAATGATTTTTTAAAATGCATTGTGAGCCGCCCTGAGTCTTCGGAGAGTGGCAGCATACAAATTGAATTAATAAATAATAAATAAATAAATATTAAGCTCCAATTTAGTCAGCTTCATTCTCAAGTCTCCTCGTTCAGTGATATCCAGTCGATTTCTTTTCTTCAGTAGCAAATCATTTACAGCACTAAAGCCACATTCAGCTAAATATGAAGATGGGAATGGTAACAGCAGTTTTCTTGCAAAGTAGGTTGAATTTGGGTATTTAGTTTCTGTCTCATCACAAAGCCATGCCTTTCATGCATAGGGTTTGTGACTAAAAGGAATAAATGTGAGAAAAACTTATAAAATGATGCAAATTATTAAAAGAAATAACTATTAAAAGATGGCACAGAAAGAGGGAAATTTTCAAAACATTCTTAGCTTAATTTATTAAAGAAAGGGGGGATGTAACCTATGACCCCCCTACTCGCCCACTCGGTTTGAACCTGCAGCTTAGTGGGGAAATGCTTTGGTAGTTCAGTAGGTGGAAGTGAATCATGCAAGCCTGGCAAAGCTTACGCATGCGTGGCCCAGCCCCAGATTGCTCTGAGGGGAAAAGTCTCGTAAAACATGGCCTGAGAAAACACAGACTAAAAATAACTGTACTTCTAATAATTTCTTACTTAAACTTGGGTCCTGGTTCTGTATTCTCACTGCTGGGCTTCCCCCAGCAGCCATCCACTCTGTCTCCCCACAGAGCACCTCTCCCTGCAACCACCCAGCAGCAAAGCCCACAGGAAAGAGAGAGAGAGAGATTCTGCCAGTCCCATGATCCTTGGGACACATCTGATTGACTGGCAGTTGCTCCTTCCTCCCCTCAGCTGGGATATCCTTTTCAGACCAGGCCCTAGGAAATGCACTTTAACAAAGACAACAATAGATAAATGAAACACAGCTGTTTTATCACAAAACATATAAGAACAATTAGCGGGCTTTCAAAAATTCAGTTAATAGTTCATATTCGAATTGCTCCCATTAAAAATCAAATTGCCCCCCTGTGGGGCATGGGCCCACATTGGGAACCATTGCTGTAAAGAGAACGAGCAAGTTGCATTCTGTTTTTCTTATCTGAAAGCTTCATCAAGTTGCAACAGAAAACCCCATTGCTACATGAGCTATTTTAAATTTAGATGTTAGAATATACCCTGAAATGTCTTATAGAAATGGCATATGCCCATGGTCTCCAGAAAATCTTAAATGTTTTCTGAACATAAATCTTAAATATTCAGTAAATGACAAAAATTAACTAGCAAATTGGCTCTGGGTAGAGGTTGCTTTTGTTATGACATCTGTCTTTAGCAAAAGATAGGGCTCCTTAAATGCTGTCATTCTAAAGATAGTTCTACTTGTAAAGGAAAAAGAGATTATAAATAATAATGAAGCTGGTTCATAAAGACTTCTGGAGTTTAAAAAGTTTGTATTTCTACAGAATGGACAGGGACCTTCTAGAATACACAGAGGCGTTCACATCACAAAGTTTCTAATCCAATCAAGCTATTCAAAGCATAGAGCACTTCACACCTGTTTTTAGCTTAAGGGGAACATCTTCTCTGGAATTATAAACCAATTTCTTTATTGAACAATGATTTGTAAAATGTTTTCATCCGTTTTGGCAGAAAACCCAAAATGTACTTAGAGGAGTTCATTCATAAAGATCAATGTTAATTTTCTATTTGAAAGATAATTTTTTAAAAATGTCAGAACTGCGCTGGATGTAACAAAGTGACTACCAACAATGTAATGGAAAACAAGCTGACCTGATATTCTTAGGCTAAGAAAGCCTTTGATAATTTGTACTGGCCCTTTTTGTTTAAAGTTTTGGAAGATGTATAATTTGATAAGAACTTTATTCAAGGAACTAAGTTGACATATACATCTCAAAAGGCTTGAATTATAGTTAATGGTGATTTGATTTTTAAAAATTGCAATTTTTTTGGCTTAAATATTATATACAGTTGAATCAATAGAAATGTATGGTACATGGAAGAAAGGATTGAAATTTACATTGAATTATAACCTTAAAAGAGAATTTTTGTAAAATGATATATTGCTGGTAATTCATAAACTGTCAAAAACATACAAGGAATTTTCAAATATTTGTTGGAAATGTAATCAAACAGAGCATTTTCTTCTTCTTTGGTGAACATGCACGAAAGTTAGAAAATATTGGAGAAGGAAAATTTGCCATCAGAAGAAGATTTAATTAGAAAAATTTTAGAATGCGCAGAGATGGACAAATTAACAAAAAAACTCAAGGAGAAAGAGGATATAGAATATTACAAAGTATGGTGTAGATAGTATGAATGGTTGGAGAATAGGAAAAATGAGAAAGAGGAATAAAGGAGAGGGGGGGAAATGTTGAAGATCAAGTTACAATGTAGACAAAATAAAGAAAGATGGAAAATAATTGTTGAATAAGACAAAGTTAAAATATGTGTAAATAGATGTAAATAGCAAGAAAGGATCACTTCGAAATAGCTGTAGGAAAAAGTGATATGTATATAAATGTTGTGTGTTTGTGTCTTGTTTTAATGTATTCAAAATAAAAAACTTTTTTAAAAAAAAGAAAGTTAGAAAATATTGGGATCAAGTATGCATTCTGATTCAGAAGATTTTAAAAGTGAATGTACAATTGAAACCAGAGATCTTTCTTTTGGATTTAATGAACAAACAAGTGGAAACACCTTAGAGAACTTTGCTTTCATATATGAAAAGAGCAACAAAATATTTATATGCACAAAGGTAGAAGGATTTAGAATTACCTATAATGGAAGAATGGATGGTGAAGCAGATGGAATTTTTTTTTTTTTTTTGGACCTTAATGCAGAAAACTTGGAAGACCAATGTGATTCATTTTTTTTTTTTTTACATATTTGCACTTGGTGTTGCATAGGATTTTATTAATTCAGGATCAGTATTGGAAATTAATTCTAATACAGAGGTAATATAATCCAACTACAATGAATGTTGATATTTTATCTTGTTCTAAAATAATAGTCCATTTGTTGATGCCTTTTTATTTTACCAATAAAAAGGTATTTTATTCTGCTTTATTCTGAAAATTCTGAAAGTATCTTAATGCTGAATCAGTCATTTGTCTAAGATGAGCTGTTTTAAGAATTTTGAAAGGCACCATAATATGTTGCTAGAACTCTAGAGAAATTGTATGTATTTTTTAAAATTATGCAATCTAAATTGAAAATAAATTTTGGAAAAATTTTAAAAGAAAAAGATAATTTGATGAAGTTAGTGCTGAAAAAAATTGCTAGAGTTTGAATGAAAGAAAATATCAAATATATACCGCAAAAGAATCTTTATATAATGAGGCGGAAAATATGTTATAATGAGCACTCAGATGATATATATCAAGTGCTACTGAATTCATGTAATTTGCTTAGTAGAATACTTTATACTTTATAAACTAATACTATCAGATAACCCATTATATAATAAGAGAACTGATTATTGCCTATATTATATGCAACAGTCATGTAACAGCATGGATAAACCTGGTATATATCTGCAGACATTAAATGTGAATAGCTATTTTTTTTTCTCTCAAACCACACAGCAAGCAATGTAGCAGTACTTGTATGTGAAAATAATACCTTTAATGGAATACTTATGAGGTATTAGTTTTCTGTGTCTGAGAATTTTCACATCGTCAAAGAAGTCTATAATTACCCACAGGCATGCCACAAACCTCATAATCATTATGTATTTGACTCAGTCCAATGCATCCAGACATTTCTTAATGTACAGAACATACGTTATGGAATCACTAAGACACCCATTCTGGTTTTCTTTCAGGAATAAATACTTTCATACTACAGGTAGTGCTTAGTTCTTTGCTTCTTCTGTCTGTCTGTCTGTCTGTCTGTGTCTCTCTGCTTAAAGTACCGGTATGTCTGCTGAATGCGATTTTTCAAAGTGCATCTCGCTATGTATTCTTTACTTTCTCCATGTTTCTCTGGACCAGATCTTTTGCCTAACTATGATTACAACTAACTCAAGATGGCAAACATACCTAATACTCCTTCCTCCTATTTTCTCCACCACCATAAACCTGCAAGGTTGGTTAGGCTGAGTAACTGGCCCAAAGTCACCCAGCTGGCTTTCATGGTTAAGGCAAGAGGGAAATAAACACGACACATTTCCTGCAGCACATGAAACTTATTTATTGAAGTTATTTATTAAACTAATTTATATAGTCACCCATCTCACAAACAAGTGACTCTGGGAAGCATACAGCAGAGCACTCCTCTCTGTCCCTGGATTTCTCAGGCAAAAACAAAGAGGAAAAAAAATAAGCAAACCAAAACAACTGCTTTCTCCTGGATCTCTTCCGTTGAACTTCCCCATTACATCTCTCCTTGCTCCGTCCTTTTGCTTGCTCAGTTAGTTGGGTGATTAGCCTCTTTCAGACAATTGGGTTATTTAAAAGCCAGAAGGCCTTTACCTTGCTCCCTTCTGCTTTCATACCATAGAGAAGAGAAGTATTTTTATATAATGTCTCTCTATCCAAAAGCTTACAAGCCAGCAGATTATTACTTGGCAAGTCACTGAGCCAAAGCCTGTAAACCAAACAGTCTGGAAGGATTCCCCGTGCATACCGCCAAAAAGCAAGAAGCAAATGATGCAAGCCCACCCCTTTGTTGTGACTGATGTTAAACATTTCCTTTTCTGGAAGATGTATGAGACTGGGGAAACAATGAAAGAGGAAACCTGTGAGAATATGTTCCATATATTCCAGCTTGATTTAGAAAAGCTTTTCTTAGTGGTGTACCCCTGCCAATGCCATCTTACAGACTTCCATTCAACAATTGCATAGCAGATATTAATCAACTAATTTCAACTTCAACTCGTTTCAACTTGAAGAAAATATTTAACAAGGAATGTGGGTTAAGTACCCAGCTGTCTTGGATTGATCTCAAAGAATTAAACTGGATTGGATCTAGTTAAGAGAATACCAGCTAATCCTGATAAGGCTATTCCTTAGCCCTACTGCTGAAGGTAGGACTAAGGAATAAAAGCAGAACAAAACAAAAATCCCAAAAGAAATTAAAATTATTTCAATGTGTTTACAAAGAGAATTTACGTGGATGTGTCCATGAAGTTGTCTGAAATTGAACTCACTCAAAGTAGCTCAAAGCTTTATAATTGGCATATTATGGCGATATTTCCCCTTCACTCTCCACCACTTTATTGTATTTACTTGGTACCCTCTGTTCAGAAAGAGTCTTCCTGCTCTACCAGATCTGGAGGCCTTTTAATTTAGTCAGGAACAATTGGGTATGATTGGACACAGGAACCATGTATAGCTATTACTTGCCTTAAAAAAGCAAGGAAATTCTAATTACAAATTACTAGGAAATAAAGGGCCATTTAGCTGACACTTGAGGTTGCACAGCCCTTCTTAAAGCTTCATATGTGGAGTGATAATTCTGCAATAGGGATGTTACTGCATAGATTAAGTAATTGAAAGATTGGTCCCCCTTGCCCATCTGAGAGCATTTTGAGTACACATAGGCTTGGTTTCCTCTTTCAAGATTCTGTCCCTCAAGATTAGTGGATTACCCAGTTTTGTTCCAATAATTAGTTAGCCCTGTTGCTGCACAGGAAACAAAGTACTTCAATGATATAAAGTGAGATGCTAGAGATGAGTGAATAATTGTTTTATGATTGGCCATACAAGCAAGGTTATGATGGGAGCTGCAAGGGTTGTTTTTCAAGGACTGGGCACACCACAGCATAGGAAAAGTACACACAATTCTTTATTGCAACACAAACCTTTCCCAACAACAGGCTATTGCTTTGGATCAACTCTGCCTTTCTAGGACTCTCAGAGTGATATTGCCAGATAAATATGTCTTTCATATTCAGTCCTTTATATGCAGTTCAAGTAAAAGTCTCCAAGTAGCATTACAACCTTTGCCTTTTTCCAAAGGTTCTTTCATTAGTTGGGTTGAGGTGCAGTTTCAGTGTGGTTACTCCTTTTCTACTTGTTGCAAAGCTCCAAGGCAGGACTCTCACCAAGATATGCAGCTTTCTGTAGTTTGTGGTCCTGACAACTGAATGAAAGTCTTCTTGCCTGCTTGTAATGATTGCCAATCTCCACATGTCACTGCTTCCCTGCCTTTAGGCCATTTGCTTATCACCTTGCCTGCAACACACACACCTCCTCACTCTGTCTTAGCTTTTGCTTTTGTAAACTAAGGGTCCTGGGATGGGCTGAGACCATTTTTGGACCATTCACTTGATTGAATCACGCCTAGCAATTTTAAGGACATTACAGACAGTTTTAATACCGGTTTAGATGCTCGTGAGCAAAATGACTGTACGAAGACATGAGGGAAGTTGGGTGGGAAACGCTTCTGTCTTATTGCAGCTACTTTTTTAAACCACAGACAGTAACCCCCATTTTACTCCCTTACAGAAGGATGAAATAATGGCTGCACCATTAAAAAAAAATGCTGCTAGCAGAAGACACCTCATAGGTCATAGAACACACATTTTTAATATTAAAACTATATGAGTAAGAAAACTATACTATACATATGGGGAGGCATCACCATAACAACTTGAATGCTATGTGTAGAACCTGTTAAGAATTACCACTACGTATTATTATCAGCATTTTTATAAGAACCTATAAAAATACAATCATGGATGCTTTATGAAAAATGGCGATAATCCTAACATGGCCCTGGCCATTTCTTTCTCAACAATAAAATCTCATATCCCAAGATGCAAAAACACCCAAGATAACTCTTCTTAATTTCATACAAATAGCAATAAAAACAGGAGTCTAGTAAGATAAGGTTCTGGTGGCTTTTTTTTTAAACTACTCCTGCTTCTCCCAAATGACCGAGAAACAATAATAACAAGGTTTTTCAAGAAATGCAAAAGCAGAAAAGGAGGCCTAGTTAAGTAATATATTTCAGGCCTGCGAATGGTGCACGGTGTAAGTTACTTTTGCCACTGCTGACTGTTTATTATGTTTGTCTGGTTGCCTGGGGAACTAGCTCACACCGTTTCATTCATTTTATAATGTTCCTGTAAATGTTAGGTAGGGCTGGGATTTATTATGCACTGTCAACACCTCAAATGGAACGCGCCACTGAGCTCCACTTACTTGGCAAGCTGCCGTTGCTTGGTCCTCTTTTTATTCTCAATAATTTTAAAGTTAAAAAAATTAGCTTTAGGCATCCAGACTTCTACTATGCATGCAATGCAGGGTACACTTCTGCTTGCATGCATACAGATCTCCAACAATAAGTATTGGTGGTGAGAGTCTCAGGGGAGCCATTTGTCAGGCGAGAACTGAGGCTGAAGTGGTCAAGTGAGCAAGCCCAGGGAATGGAATCTGTGACTGACTTGGGACTTGTAAGAGGTAACATTTTAGGGGAAAGAAGTAGGAACATGTTTACTGAGGGTGTTCCTCATCCTAACACAGTATGACCCCATCGCCATCCACTCAACAACTTCTGTTGATTCAGAAGAAGATGATAAATTACTATGACCGGTATACTTTGTTTTTATTTTCCTTCTTCATTCCCATACAAAATTGGCTTTATGTGGTTGGTATCAGGTACAACAGGCTTCTTTGGGAAGATGGGACAACTGACCTGGAATAAATATAGAAATGGCATTAAAAAGACTTCAAAGAACCTTTCCCCACCGCTTAGTTGAACTGATATCCATCCATTCTTGAGTGGGTTAAAAAACATCTAGCATGAAGTCCACTGTCCTCATTGCCAATCTCCATCCTATATTATCTATTCCAAGACACTGCAGATATTTGACTTCTTCCAAAGTAATGGGTGATAGTGTGCTTAAGTCAGCCATTGAACAATGTGGGAATAAAAGGAGAAAGATCGCTTACTGGATTGTGGTCCATAACACTCTATGGATTGGCTGGTTCTGCTAAAGATAATTTAGACTTGTTATGTAAAAAATTAGATTAAGGCAATATCGCAATAAAGATGAACATACTCCCAAGGCTCCTCTACTTGTTCCAAACTATTCCAGTCAAATTAGAGAAAAACTTCTTCACAAATCT